TATATATATATATATATATATATATATATATATATATATATATATATATATATATATATATTTATATTTATATTTATATTTATAAAGAGAGGAAAATTATATATTCAACACGTACGTACAAGGATCGGTCTTAACATTTGGTGAATTTATGTAAATCGTACATATAACGTGACAAATAATATTCAATTCAATTGTCGTTATTTTTTTAGACACGCTCGTTATTTCGTTATATCGATTGGCTCATGTGATCTCGAATAACCTTCGTATAATTTCGAGATTATCCGAGTAACCTTGGATCGTCCAGATAAAATGGAACGATTGTATTTTTACGTCGTTATAATTTTATAAAACAATGTATGCATCATTTAGATCTGTAATCTGCTATTGTTTGAGTACATTATTTTATGAATTTATAACGGCATAAAAATGTAAACGTTATATCCGAGCCGAAAAATCCGCAATTGCTTATTGCAAAACTCAATATATATTGTCAAATAACTCAGCCACTAACAAAATGTCACCTTGTGATAGTGAAAGAAAAATATAACAAATCTGGCTACGATTTACTTTCATTTCGTTAATTAAAACATTTGAAACAAAATTTCAGGTAAATTCTGGTATAGGCGTAACATCATACAGCAAAAAAAACGTAGACAAAGAGTACAACCAGATGATCACGACGAGTGATTTTTCGAGCGCAGGACATAAAAAACAGTATAAAGGAAAAATTAGGAAAAATTTAGTGGAGAAGAAAAAACAGAAAATACTCTCCTGATCTCTCTTTATCTGTGAGATTTTTTTCGTAATAGCTAAGTTGAAAGTCGACGGCTACGTAAACGGCGTCACTGGCGTCAACGCGACGCGGCGTGGCGCGACGTTACGACACTCCGACAGGCGCCGCGGCGCCGACCCGCGCTACATTGGCCATCTCTCCCCTTTTTCTCGTCCTCCCTAGTCTAACCCCAACTTATCGTGTGCCTCATTGAACGCGTACAATGCATCCAGTTTCGATTAATGACTACTTTCGAGAATTGCGAATTCACGATTGCTATGCCTTGCGTTAACTCATTATGCGTTTGACATCGACATTTTGGCTTTTCATCTGCAGCGCAACTTTTCAATGCCACTGTATTATAAAAATACTTAGTAAATTACGTGGAAAACATATTTGGAATACTTAGTAAATTAAATCGAATTCATCATTAATATTGTTCTAAATGACACGATGGAAACACGAAAGCTTACTCAATCTCTTAGGATAGTTGTTTAGGTATTATTCAAACAATTTAGTCCAATATATGATTGTAGGCGACCATCGTCAAACGTGGATTTCATTAACAATAATTGATACAATTTTGTCGTGAATCAAACAAAATTGGCGCAGGGAAAAACGTCCTATGAACCACAATCCTGGAGGAAGCCAGGAAGCAGACTCTATCTACCAGGAAGCCGTAATTTGCGCGTTACGGAAAAGCTTGCTGGACGATAGAGGATAAAATGTCAAGGGAAACAGGGGGTAGGAGAAGACTGAGAGCGGGGGCTAATGCAGCGTGGAGAACGAAAAGCTCCCGCGGAGGTTCGCGCATACTCGCGATCAAACTGTCTACAGCACTACAACTCTCTTTCGTCGTGCGTTATCTTCTAACTGCGCAAGTTACGTTTCTATCATCGAGGGCAAAAATTGTTCTATCAAAGAAGCGGAATGTATCGAAGGATCGCAATATCATTCGTCGCTTTAGCCTTTGTTGCGGTGGTTCAGTCAGGTGACGTTAATTTTAATAATTTTACAGTAACGCTCTGAAAAGAATAACAATGTGTTCGAGAATTATTGCTTGAATTTTGCTTTATATTTTGCTTTATATAGCTGATAGAATTTTCGTTAAGCAAGGAAAACGATCATGCGTCATCGGTATCCTTGTCAAATTTTCGCATATGTTTGTACAGAAATATTCCGATGGAACTTTTCGAAAAAGAAGCAGAAAGATAAAAAGGTAATTAAATATAGACGTAGTGAGAAATAGATGTGATACGTGTAATCAATAGAAGAAAAGGAGTTTACATAGTATTACGCAAAAATTAAAAATTTAGTAACAGTGTAGAGAGAGAATTACTTTTGAAAATTAATCATAAACAAATATAAAAAAATATCACCGCAAACACCATTCCCAGTAAACACCAACTGTCAGTAACATAACAATATGTAATATTACTGTTAGTGTTTACTGAATTGTATATTCACTGTGAAGCTTTAAACTAATAGTAAACAAATAGTGTACTTTTTCCTTTAATCGCACTTTGTGTTTTTACTTTTATGCAAGAAAAAAAAACAAAAGGGAAGAAAGTTCTCTCGTCTTGTATACACATGCGTATAAACGCATAAAGACCGTCGTGACGCATGGCGTCACATCGTTACTTTGCGACCTAAATAGCATAACTCGAATCTCGTCTATGCGTATAGACGATATAGATATGTGGAAAAGAGTTAGGTAATTATACTATCCATTAAAGATTCTATAATTTTTCAATCGAGTTTCTTCTAAAATTACCAATAATTTTGCCAAATTCTCTAAATAAAAATTCGACAATTGTGAGGATAGATAAAATAAAGAGCAAACTTAAGTGCAAATAATTTTAATTAAAGAAATAGTTTCTCCAATGCAAAAAAAGTATTCTATATTCACATATAGAAGAAAAGAGATCACGAAACTTTTTCTTCTTTTTTCTTGAAAACTATTTATTTGATGGAGAACGAGTCGCTGTGTCCTTTGTGTGAAATTACGTAGGAACAGACAAGAAATTAAGGATCTTCTTAAAGCACCAAGAGAAGAATAATATTTAATTTCGAACCGAAGAGAAAATGATTTATTAATATGACGCGCGATACGACTATCTTGTTTCGTATGGAACGACTTATTATCCATGCTTCCTTTTCACAGACAATGTCCTGAAGTGCTATATGTGCACCTCGCTATCAGACAAAGAATGTGGTTCCGAACTAGTGCCAAGTTCGACGGTCAAACCAATCGAATGCACCGTTAATAACATGCGGGAATGGTACAACAAAAAAATCAAACAGCATAACGTCTTAGATTCGATCAAGTGGCTTTTTGACGTCGAGGAGATACAACATCAAGACACTTACCAAAGCCCCAAAATGGCATGCTCCAAAATGACTCTCAATGGTAAGGACAGAGCAAAAGAAAATAGTCGACATAATATACGTTATTATATATGAAACGGTGAATGTTTCAATTGAAAGAAATTTATGAAGTACAAGTACATATAATTTTCTCAAAAATCCATATTCTTGGTGTTGTAATGTTTCCAGTTGAGAATCAAGACGTCATCATAAGGACATGCCAAACGGCTAAAACGGACAACTTTGATCCGTGTCAAATAATGGAAGGAAAATTAGACAGCCATCAACTTGTAAAAATGGACAAATGCAGTCTCTGCCTTAGAGAGGCCTGCAATAGTACGACAGTTATGTCTCCTGACATATTGTATATTTTTTTATCATTCCTTGGCTCTCTCATTTATATTGCTTTGTATTTGGCGTAATCTTTGGCCGTCTCATACGATCCAGAAGGACGTAATATATAATATATATATACACACACACATATATATAATAGATAATAGTATTCGGCGTCACTTTATATACTCTTTTTATAATTGTAAAGTTAGCTTTCTAAATAATTAATACGTAGCAACGCCAATGAGAAACAAATATATGATATTTACGTATGTATAAAATATACACACACACACACACACACACACACACATATATATATATATATATATATATATATATATATCATTTATCATTTTTAATAATATGCTATAGGCTGTTTGTGTTGCAGGAGTAATTACGATGCATGCATAGATTTATCACAAAAACGTAAAAATAAATAATATATTTGCATTGTGTATATATAAGTATCTGCATATTTCATCGTGGTTCATTATGATAAATATATATGATTCCAAAAATGTCGTATTTTTTTACTTTCCTCTAAGGTCACTCAAGCATTTATGTTTGAATATATTTTCAAACGAATAATATATATGTTCTTTATGTATTAATAGAACTTAAATACTTGAAAATTGTAGTAAAGTTTATTAAATATTCTAGTAAAGTTTATTAAATATTCTTATATATTTTAGTAAAGTATATTGTAGTAAAGTTTATTAAATATTCTTATATATTTTTGGCAGGACACAAAATGACACAGTAAACTACCTTAAAGTAATATTGTATTTGATGAGCACTACAAAATAAGATTAAGGAATAATAAATGAAACATATTTTTCTGCAAAGTATTACAGACGAGACAATCGAAGTCGATAGCATAGCATTAACTTTTGAAATATCTACTTGATCAAATTTTCACTTATATTACTTAAATATTAACAGTAGAAAAAAGTTAGAAATAAGTTAAACTTATTTCTTTGCAAATGATATTTTCATTGCATGCGACGGTGTGATTTTGAAACCTTGCAAAGCATCTTTCGCTGCCCCGGACTGTACTTCATTTTCAAATTCAACAAATGCAATATCGTGTCGATTAGGTACCAAACGTACCTCTTTGAAGCCTGGGAATTGATTAAACAACATTGATAACATCATTTCACTCGTCTCGTCCGGTAGATTTGTTAAGAATAATATCTGATTTGGTGGTTGCTCAGGCACAGCTGTATTGACAAGTCCTGGATGTTGAGGTACACCAGCATGGTAACCAATTTGTTGGGAATGTTTTGCCTGCTCCTTTGCGCGTTTCTTGGCACGTTTAGCCTCCTCATCTGCTGCTGGAACAACTCGTTTTGGCTTCTTTGGACGTTCTGCGAAGGTACCCTTCATTTTGGCTATCAAATCACTGTCAGTCTTAGCATATTGTATCCTCTGTGAAACAAACAAACAATATAATATAAAATCTCAGTAATATATAATAAATATATTTAATATAAATATTACATTAATATACATTATTATAAGAGCCTTATATACATATGATCTGTCAATTCTTACCATTGGTTTGTCATAAAACGGAAATCCTTGCATAGATCTCAATGCATTTGTCGCACTTCCTATTTCCTTAAAAATAACAAAAGCTTGCCCACGCATCTTCAATGTTTTTAACGCCACAATATCCAGAATTTGACCAAACTGAGAGAAGATAGCATACAATGATTTCTTTAATTCATCTTTCTTGATCTTCTCATTTAAATTGTTGATATAGATGGTATTATTCGGACGAATGTCCATTTTTACTGAAAATAAAAGATGTTTACTTCCAAAAATTATATTAGAAATCACATAAATTAAACTTGGATTATGTGACAAAAATTATATATTTAGGCGAATTATGAGAGAGATGCAACATATAAAGCGTAATATATAAGCATCCTAGCGCGCGCGTTTAAATAAAAAAATATGTATATATTTTATTATATTATTTAAACTTAAAAATAAATTTATATATAAAGTGAGGTTATCTTACATTTGAGGTTAAATAGCGTTTACTTGAAAAATATCCGCGTAACGCGACAAGCGGTGATGAGCAGCCAAAAGCTGCTGAGTTAGTAATAAAAATTGCCAACTTTGTAAAATTTTTAGTATAATTGGCTTGGTTTACATCGTGCACTTGATATGCGTACTAAATAGTAACTTTCTATTAGATAATCTTAATATCGCCAATGCATATCAACGGCGATGCATTCAATCAATACAATACGTTTTGTTGATGAGTATTATATTAGCTTAATATACCGTTGTTTATATATATCGTCGATATTAAGATTATCTAATAGAAAGTTACTATTTAGTACGTGTATCAAGTGTACAAACCAAACCAGGCCATTGAAAGACTGGCTGCGTTCAGGAGTGCGTTCAGATTCCCTACCCGGGTGCACTCTATTACTAGAAACACTATAGTATATGTTACATATACTATAGCACTTCTAGTATTAGAGTGCACCCGGGTAGGGAATCTGAACGTACCCCTAGAGGTCGATTGTTTATCTTGAAACGGAGTGAAAATTACAAAAGTGAGTAAATTCACTAGGCATTGTCCAATGAAGTTACAAATATGCTAGTAAATTTTCTCACTTTTGTCATTTTCATTCCGATTTGAGATACACAATCGACCCCTAGAGATGCCCGATTCTGAATCGATTCGATTCTTTCCCCAAAAATAGGCTTATTCGTGTTGTTTGCATTCTTCGCACTTTTTATATTTAAAACCAGACAAAAGTATATTGGAATGTTTGGAAGAAGCAAAAGCAAGATAACTAACTCGATTGTTTCTTCCAAGCGTCTGGGGGTCGATTGTGTATCTTAAAACGGAATGAAAATGACAAAAGTGAGCAAATTTTCTAGAATATTTGTAACTTTATTGGTCAATGCTTAGTGAATTCGCTCACTTTTGTAATTTTCACTCCGATTCGAGATACACAATCGATCCTCTGATTAGGTGTCTATCTCTTTAAAAGCGAAAAATATGAAATATGCAAGCACGAACAACCCTTTTTCCCTAAATTTATTAGAAAAAGAATCGAATCGATTAAGAATCGTGCATCTCTAGTACACATTAGGGGTGCGTTTCCACGCATGATGCGCATGAAGCGCAGCATTAGAGTGACAGAGATACAAGAGTAAGATAAAATAAGCACTCGGGTGAGATTCTCGAACCTAGGTTAGGTTAGTTCTCGAACGCATGGACTCAGCTCCAAAATAGTGCAGTCCATGTGCTCTCATGCGTTCAAGAACTAACCTAACCTAGGTTCGAGAATCTCACCTGAGTGCTCTCTCTCTCTTTTTATCTCACTTTCGTATTTCTGTCACTCTAAAGCTGCGTTTCATGCGCATAATGCGTGGAAACGGAACGCACTCTAGTACATACTGGGTGCTTTCCAATATTATTATATTTAATTTCCAATATTATTGCAATATCCCTAGATACTTTCATGCACACGGCGACACAAGTTGCATTCCAATTGTCGTAATCGTCGACACAACATTATGGCTCCTGCACACAGGACACAATAATGCTTGCCGCGCGGCGAAGTCTGCGCGACAGCCAATCAATATGTTGTTTTTCCGTAAGAGCTAGAAGGTTATTACGGAAAGCAGCATATTGATTGGCTGTCGTGCGAACTTCCGCCGCGCGGTAAGTATTACCGCGTCCTGTGTGCAGGAGCCATTACACATCCGTACTCAGCTCGAGGGCTACTAGTCGACTGTGTAAACTAGTGTTTTCTAGTGACAATTAAAGTTAATAAGCGTAGCGGCTTGAAAAAAGACTAGCATTTGCGACGTGAAATAAATAATATATTTTTTAATATTTAAATTTTATTATTTATTATTAAAAAATACCAAAATATAAGCACAGTTGAAAAATAATCCTAACTCTACCCGACATACGTATACACTTTGTTCCAATTGAATCGTGCACAACGTTACATTTTGTGCATTTCTGTGTACATATGTGTCAAGATGTGTTAAGCAATTGGAAAGCACCCTATATCAAGCGACACAGTAGTATCGCGAAACCAAGTGCAAGCGCAAGCAACGAGCTCGCGGCCGACCGTGTATAGTT